AAGCTCATCTTGTCTCTGACCAGGGCCAGGCTTACCCCTCTGCAGGCGGTTAGGGACCCCCACTAGCATGTGGTAGGTTGGACCAGCAGAGGGAAATGGAAAGAAACCGATTAAAAGAATTAGAGGGCATAGGGGGATGAAGAAGATCCACTAGAAATAAGAAGTGCAGGTAGGGAAGATGTGAAAACAAGTGGTGAGAGCAATCTCGCTCCATCCCATCCAATGGCACCTTCATAGATGAGTACTCTTATTCTTGAGGTTACTCCTGCCCTCCGACAGTAAGTTAGTCATAGATAAATAAGAAGGGGGCAGGGGATGAGCATCATTAAAACATCTTTAAAGAAAATCCCCCAAAAAGTGCAAAAGGAGACACAAATAAGACAGACTTGTTACTACCTTATTAAATTTAATATATACAGTTCCTGAAAAAAAACAAATTGCACATAAGTTCATAGTTATTATACAAGCTATTTTGTTATACTTCTCTCTATATGGAAATGTTTGTGCTTGTTATTTTAATTAAAATAAGAAGAGAAAGTAGGGATAGAAATCATTAATTCAGAAAATAGTTTGATGTGATAAATAGGAATTAATTACTCAAGGAGGTGAAGAGAGAATAAGAAAATAAGTAGTATAAAGACAACCAAACTATTGGGAATTGGTTTAAAAAATGGATGAGGATCAGTGGTACAGACCATAAAAGTAAGAATCAGTAAAAACTGAATTTAACTGCTCAGTATTGGGACAATCCTAAGAACAGAAACCACTTGAGCAAGAGCTCCTTTATATAGGAAAAGGGCCACAGGGGGAAATGCCGACGGTGTTGCCACAATGAAGTGTAACAGGAGCTTCAATAGCCTCTTTCACAGAGACTGGAGATGGCATTGCTCTCCCTCCAACAGGCAACAGAAACTTGGGAGGCTGGAGGTTTAACATTCTGGACTATTACAATACTAGGAGAACTGAAGGCTGAGTAAGGTACAGAGAGAAGCCGATGGAAGAGAGCTTCTTTCCTGAGAGATGTCTTAACCTTTTAATGTCTTGAAGAAAACATTAAGAAACTTTTGTCGGTATCCTGATAAATCAGAGTGTTGAGACCCATGTTTCCAGAATTAAAGAGAAGTTATTTACTTTAGTGATAGTTAAAGGTGACTATTTCACAGCCGAAACATGGTAAATAATTATTTGTCTCAGTCTTATTGTTTGTGTTAATAAGGAGTAACCTTGATATTTATTTAAGCAGCCTAGGAGATTGGGAGTTTGAGATATAGGTATGTATGTACATCTGGGACAAACAATGCAGATTTTTTATGTGTGTAATCTGAACTACATATAATTTTATAAATTTCACATATTACATCAGATTTCTATATTTTATACAATATATTTATATGACATTAACATTTCTATGCTATATTAATTATAATGTATTCATATTTTATATTAGATATAAAATTTCATACAAATACTTATATAAATACATAGCTAGATACACATATTCACATACCTATAAATGGAGCAAGAGATGAGCCAAATACTTATGAAGAAAAATGTTTTCTCCAGTTTACTAAATAAATAAAATGTCATAAACTGGAATAGGGGCTCAGACTTAATTGATATGATGTTGCAATTGTAGTAACTAATAAAGAAATATCCATACCTACTCGTGGATCATCTTAGAATTTAAGATGATGAGAATGAACATGGTAACTAAGAAGTCAAGTAGCAGGCTGAGTAGGTTACACATCAGTGTAGTTGCCCCTACAACCTTGTTGCATAGATTCAATCCAATGTGTTATATATTTCAATAAGCTCAAAATAAATATGGTCTACAAAGGTCATATCATTAAAAAAATTAGAAGAAAAACGAATCAGATACTTTTTACAGCTATGGCTAGGGTGGAATTCTTAATCCCACAAAGAACAGAAGAGATCCTGAAAGTTACTCATATCCAAAACAGTCAAAAGCATGTGTGATCTCAATTTGGGAGTTCCTTCCAACATACAGACTGCAGCCCATTCATATCTTTATGTAACTCCTGTCAATGTTCTTCTAAAAGTTTACCACAGGGGAGCCACCCAATACGCTGGAGCCCTTGTTCTCTTTATCCCAGTATTGCAAGGGTACCTTTGGGGCATTCTAGCTGTCAACCTAGCATCACTTGCTCTTGCCACACGACCAACCCCTCTTCTGATTCCATATTACAGTTTCTTGAGAATTGTCCTTTGCTCCTGACATTCCTTAGGGTTCCTTGAAATGTGTTGCAGTCTGTTTCTATCTACCATACACTTCTCAGTAGCCCTTTTCATGATTATCATCTTTAGTTCTTTGGAGAAGATGGTATTCTACATCTCACTGCCATATAGCAATACCAGTAAGGTGTTATAATGGGGAAAATGGGCCTTTGTTTTCGTGAGAAGTATAGAGTCAATAGAAGAGCCTTGTAATTTCCCAAAAGCAATTCAGAATCCTCTCCTCCTAATCAACTCGAGGTCCAACTACTTGTCCATCTGTATACTGTTTGTTCCTGAGATATATACAAGTTCTATAGGGTATCTAACCAAATTCATGTTGAAATCTAGGCAACGGACATTTTTTTTATCCATGTAGTATTTCCTAAGTGTTTGGACAGGCCAGATTCCTCTGAGTGATTACAGATCCTTTGTAGGAGGCTCTGAAATGTTCTAGGGCTTGAGACGATCAACACATAATCCCCAAGTTAGATCATCTAGGTGACCACACTACAGGGAATCCCTTTTCTATCTGGATCCTGGACTGGATTTCCTCCATAACAAGGGCAAATGTCTTTGGGGAACAGATATCTCCCATGCATTATTTGGTCTTTACTGTCAAAGAGTCATTAAACAAGATTATTTCTGTTGACATAAATTTCAAGGAATCTTAGAGGATCTTAATATATAAAATGAGATACAGCTTGTAATAGAATCTTGCAAGGCATCATTTTCTACTGAACCAAATGCTTTTTCATAATCAACAAACAAGCACAGGAAGATCCTATATTCCTTATATCTTCCAGTTAATTGCAAAATAGTCAAGGTGTAGTTCATAAGTGAATATTGATTTTACAAGTCTGGTTGTTCCCTAATACTCTCATCAAGGATGCCATCTATTCATGTATAGATGACTCTCATATTTTGTATAGATGGGAGAGTTAGCATTCTTGATGAGTAGTTACTGTTCTCCTGGAAACCTTTTTTTTTGATTATTAATTGTCCAAGATTTCTTCCACATCTTTGTTATTTTCCCCCTCCTTCAGATACCTTGTATCTGTCGTCTGTCAACAGGGTCACAATTATATTGCCTCCAGAAACTATGTCCTGTACAGAGTATTCCAAAAGTCTTAGTACAGCTTTAAGTTTTAATAGATTTAATAACCTTAATAACTTAAAGCTGCACTAACACTTTTGGAATACCTTGAATATACATTTGATCCAATTTTAGCTACTTTTCCCATCTTTGCTTTCTTTAGTGCCATTACTACCTCCTCTATAAATACATATATGACTATGACTTGAGGATTCAAATGTGCTAGTTCTACTCTGCTTGATGGAGAAAATTCTTAATTAAATTTTTTTGTGTTTTTTTTCAAAGTTTTTCCATTGTTCTTCTTTTTGTGGTCCCTCTTCCCTTTTCATGCTTGAATGAACCTGAGATAATTTTACTTGGTGCATAAATTTTGCCAACAATCTTTACACTGGTTTTTATAAAACCACTGCTACTTCTCTCTATGAGAGGATAAAATAAAGATAAAATAAACAATTTTGATTATATAAATCTAAATCTTTTTGCACAAATGAAATCAATGCAACTAGAATAAGAAGGGAAACTTGGATTAGAATAAGAAGGGAATTGGATTACTGGAAAATAATACCCAGAAAAATGGTAAAGAAGATAAAAATAGTGTTTGAGAGGCTACAGGAAAATAGGAACACATCTGGTGGAACTATGAATTAGCCCAACTATTCTGGAAAGCATTTTGCAATTATGATTTTTAAAAAATAACTAAAATATACCCTTTGACCAAAGATCCCACTGCTACATATATACTATAAGGAAATCAAAGGCAGAAGGAAAGGTTCTGTGTACGCCAAACTATGCATAGCAATAATTTTTGTGGTAGGAAAAGAACTGGGAAAAAAAGTAGATGCTCATTGCCTGAGGCATGGCTAAACAAATTGTGAAACATTAATGGAAAGGAATCTTCCTTTACCATAATAAATACGAAGAACTCAGAGAAACATGGTAAGACATGAATTATTACAGAGTGAAGCAAGTAAAACTAGGAAAGCAACATACACATTGACTACCACAAAGTAAATAAAAAGAACAATTAATAATTACAATTAAATAATAATTAATAATGTCTGAACTTGACCCTAAAGAAGAAGTAAGAAAATTTCTATCCTTTCCCTTATTATAATGGGGGCATTATGAGTGTTAAATATTATGTATATTAACAGAAAGTCATTGTATTTCTTAGTTTTCCTAAACTATTTTTAAAAAAATCTTTGTTACAAGGCATGGCTTACTGAGTGGGGGGTCAGGGAATGTTTTAGAAATTAATAAGTTGTAGAAACAAAAGGCATCAATAAAAATAAGATGAATTGTTTTAAAGAATTGGACAAATCTAACAGATTAAACACAAAGGATAGCATAGAACTGAAAAAATATTTGAAGAAATTGGAACTAAAAGACTTAGGTGCCTTCTGAATGAAACCACTAAAATATATATATAT